GTTAGGAGAAAATAGGCAGATGGGGGGGGGAAGGATCTGTATATGTAAAATGTTTTGAAATCCCAGCACGTCCTGCAGTTCCATATACATTACCTACAGCTAGCTAGCTAGCTAGCTAGCTATGAATGACCTTGCCTTGAAGGAACAACCTCCAGTGAATAATTCAATATTTCTATTATCATGCTCAATTAAAAAACCCCAAAGAAACGAGTATTTGACGAAAAATACTGCTGTTCCTTTGCAGATCATAAAGCAAACCAGGCACCAAATTACCAAATGACTATGCTAAAGGCATAGTAACTTTGCCTATAGCCCACAATCCATTTACTTTAATTCTTCTTACTGTGGAAGAATCAATGAGATGACTCTAGCATTTGTGGGCAGTGAATGGCAGCAGTAGTGGATCGTGCAGTATTGAAAAATGGAGACGGGAGCTACTCCGTATTTTTCACATGGCTTGGTTTAAAAAACAACCACAAGCTCATATGTATTTTCCCACATTCCCCCAAATAGAGGTTTTAGGAGTAAAAAATCCCATTTTCACATGGGACAAATGTTAACTGGTGTTGTGTTCCTCTAGGTGCCCCTCTAGGCAAGCTCCTTCACATTATTATTTAGATCAGGGCAGTCCATTGTGCAGCCTAGGGGCTGCATGCAGCCCTTGAGGCCTTTTTTGGTGGCCCTCAGCAATATTTCATGCCCGCCTGCTGTCTTCCCAAAGGCAGATAAGTGGGCACTGGGCTCCAGGAAGGAGGAATGAGGTGGGGTCTCTAGGTGGGGTCCTAGAGTCCTCCTGTCTCCTTCCCAAATCCTAGTTAGTGTTTTCCCAGCTTTGGGAAGGAGCTGGAAGGCTCTAGAGCCTGACCAGAGCCTCACACCTCCTTCCCAAAGCCTGATGCCTTGCTTAGCCAGCTGGGGACGGTCAAATTTGGGCCTCACTCCCACCTCCCCTGCAACAAGGCAGTGAGCAGCCCGCAGGTTCATTGCCGAAGTACCCCACTTGGTATGAAACGTTGGACCACCCTGATTTGGATCACTGTAAAGGAGGCATACTCTGCTCAATAAATGAGAGGTATGGAAAAGTAAGCCATAGCATTTAAGGAAGCCCCTGTCAGATTCAACAGAAAAGTGGCTGCCTATTGGGGGGAGTATTGTTGAGGTGTGTGAGCCCCAATCACAAGCTGAAGCTGTTCATTGCCTCTTCAGAGAAGAGAACCTCAGGCATTGCTCCTCTCCCCTCTCGGCATCAGTGCTCACCTGCAGGAGCAGCAATGTTCTACTGATCGCAGCCTTACCGCTTTCCCCAGGGATGAACAACACATGCACAGATAATGTCAGAATTGCATAAAGCTAAAATCCACTTAGTGGGAAGATGTGAATGAGCACCGAAGAAAGCTGACAATGGTTTCTGTGTCTTCTTAAATTTTGTTTGCAAATGCAGAAAGCCACTTCTCTGTACTCCCCTCACTGAGAGGCTGCTCAAATGTGTCTGTGCAAGGGATGCATCTCTTTTAATACACTCCTGTTTTCCTTGTGTTAGTAGCAGCAGACTTGCAGCCTTCTTACACCATGTGAGTATCAACTCTCTCATGGCATCTAACCTCCAATGGAGGATTTTGGAGAGGAGAAGTGCCTGTACTGCCTCTTTTCTCTCTCTTTGGCACATCACAAGATTGGCTCCAGGTTGTACCAGACACAAGCACTTCTCTCAATTGACACTTACACTGACAGGCAATGACTGGTGATTCCCCTTAGCTGGGAACAAAGTACAGGCCACATCTATATCTGAATTTCCAAGTCACTACATATTGGAGTTAAGTTGTGCCAAAAGGGGTAGAGTTCTGCAGAGACATATTAAAAGATCTTCCAGTCCAATTGTCTTTATGGACGTCTTCACTAGAGTTTCAGGTTGTTGTTTTTTGTTAGGTTTCACTACCTTTTCCTACCTCTTTTCATAACGGAAACAAATGGCAAAAATGGAAAGCTGCAGAAAATGGGTGCTTTCAAAGTTCATATAGTTTACTGGGCAAGATACCTCTGCACTGCAAAAAAACTCAAATGCAAAAATTTTCTGTAATGCAGGTGGTTGCTATTCATGCAACTACTCTTTAGATCTGTGCCATTTTGTAAATACAGCTGCTGGAAATACCAGACAAAGGAGAACATCTTTAGCTCCTTCACAGATGTAATTCTTATTCCTGACTGCCCTCTAAGTAAAATCACATAAGGCAACAAATTTTTTTCAAAATGTAGAAAGAAACCTTTCCTTTCCAACAGAGAAGAATGAATAATCCTGAAAATTGGTGCTGTAGCTGCCTGGGCACGATGAAATTTTCTTTTTCAGGTGTGAACCACAGTTTAGTGCTAGATTCACCAGCAGCAGCAGCAGCAGTAGCAAGCCTCGGGCTCTACACTCTCACCTTCTCTAGTGAACCGTGAGGACAAGACTGGAAGCTTTGCCTTCTCTTTGCAGTCAAAACTGGGAGGGAACGCTGATTGGTTTAACCTGTGGTTTGTTCCAACAAGCCAGGATCAAACTGTGGTTTGTGCTCCTATCTTGCTTGAACAAACCATAGTTTGATCTAACCAAAGTCCCCAAAGTCTGGATGCAATCAAAAGCTCTGGTTTAAAACAGAAAGCAAAAGCTTCCAATCCACTCTCCTCTTTGGGCTTGCAAGAAGAACAAAGGGAAGGCAGGACTCCTCTAACCCAAGCTGCTCACCCACACAGTCATACTGTTTGGGGCTCTGTCGGGCCACAGGTTCCTCATGCCTAGTTTAGCATTATGCCTGAAATAGGCCAAAGTCAGAGATCCCATAAGCATTGTTTTCTTTATAACAGCTTCTTCTAATGTTAAAAAGTATGTTTCGGAGGCACGCACATGCAAATCATAGCAGTAACAAAATTCATGATATTCAAAAGACTGATAAGCATACCCACCTGTAATTCAGGCACAGGTATGTTAAGCTGCAGCTGGGATGCACAGCCTAATTTACAGTTTTTGTTATGAGAGTGAAATGCAACAATAATGTAGCTTTAAGCACCATAAAAATTAACAGAGCTTGCATGTGCACGACAGCATCACACCCAAGCTGACATAGATTTTTCACTCTTTGTTTTTAATTATAGTTTGTAAAATATTGGCCCATTTCAGACTTAACACCAAACACTAAACCATAGTTTAGCATGATGTGAGCCTCACACTCACAAGCTCTTCCTCCTTTCCTTTGTGAGGAAATGATTGGAAGTTTGTGAGTCCCATTTTAAACTAACAGCAGTTTATCATTACATCTGAACTGGGGTTGTCCAAATTCTATATCGTTAATAAGGCAGGACCATAAACCTTACTTTTCTATAGTCAAAGCTTGAATTTCTTTTGAACTCTTTAATGTATGTGCATTTATTTAACTGCACAGCAAAAACCTTCCAAAATTATACTAGGGGTTACATGTGGGTGGTCATTTTAAATTACTTCAAAACAATCACTCATCCATGTCTATCAATTAAATTAAATACTGATGTTTGCCCAGGCACTGTAAACACTACAAACTTCAGAATCAAGCATTGATTCTGTCCCTGAGAAACTATCATATCTAGTCGTGCAGTGATCTTTCTTTCTGAGAAAGAAAATATATCCCTGTACTATATTATCTGAAATTATAGATAGCGCTTGCCAGTGCTAATATGACATGCTCAAAGATCTTCCATCTCATTTTCCGTGAGTAAGTTACCATCTATAGCTAAGGACACTGAAGATCTCAGCAGCTACTCTGGTGACTAGGGGTTTTTCTAGTCGCGGAGGTAGCCGCTGCAATCTTTTACACATCTCTGCATCCGGTGTCATACTGCTCATGCGAGTAGACCACTCATGTGAGCGGTTAATTACAGTAATTTACCAGCTGCAATAACATGTGCATTGGCGTCAGTGTTCAAAGTGGCAAGGAAACTCTTATCTTACTAGGATTCCATTTCCGATTAGAATAGCCCTGTTCAAGATTTCACACCGCACCACTAACTATTGTTTAAGGGGGTAGAGCAGAGCCGCACTTATGGGTCCTGCCTTCCCACGAGCCCCCGTTGTCCATGTACTGAGGAGGGAACACCTTGGGAGGGTAGCCTGGTTGCAGAGGAAGCCCAGGAACATACAGCAGGTTGCCCTCTCCAGCAGATGTCCACCAAAGCATGGACAGCAGGGAAAGTAGAAAATTCTCAGGAAGCCCTGTTCTCTACCACTGCCTGATCCCACTTGTTGCCTCTGGGTAACTGTACAGAACACATGCTCTCCTTGCCCATGCGAATTAGCTGCAGAAAGGTATCGTCACTTTGGTTTTTTATAGCAATAGCGGAAGGAGTCTGAATAGTAGCAAGCAGGTTGGTGTTAAGTAGGAATTTCATTCTGCTTGAGAAATGTACAGGTAAGCCATGCAAGATATACTTGAAGGACAGAGGAAGTTAATTGCAAGTACTTAACAGACTCCTAGTGAAACTGAATGCCTACTTTGTCCCTCAAGGCTCTTCTCATCAGTTCCCAAAACACCTGTGCAAAGAGGTGTATTGCAGAACATGCTTCAAGCTGACAGCAAACAATGGAGACGAGAACAGACTCTGTTCCGTCCCAATGGGTTGTTGTGACACATACGAAGCAAGACCAAAAATAAGCAGTCCTGCAGATTCACATTCAATGTATTAGGTCCAGGCCTAGTCACCCTTAGATCAGACCCACTAAAATCTCCATGGGACTCGTGGATTTCAATGGGTCTGTTCTAAGAATGAGTGGGTCTGGATCCAACCCAAAACCTTTTGACCACACTGACATGTTTCTGAAATCCTAATGCTCTTCAGAAGTAAAATATAATCCCATGTAATATTTTTTGGGTCACAAAAGAGGTTAGAAAATGACGGATTTGTCCAAGGGAAAGCACAATGAATGGGATCACAGAGAGAGTGATCTCTGCTGCGGGGATTTAAAGAAACAAAACTAAACTCTCAAAATGACCTACCTGTTGGAATAAACGCTGCATGTTGCTGCAACTGTGCATTAGCAAGAGCCTGTTGGTAGTGCAAGAAACTGGGATTAAAAACAGCACTGGCCCCATTGCTTTTCTCAAGGGCTTGCCTCTTTGGTAAAGTGTGAAGAACACCAGGAGGAAAGGCCTGCAAATGGAATAATAAGAGTAGCAGTAGTAAGGCTGACAGAAGCTGTAATAGGTTGTTCTGCTCTTAAAATATTACATTTGGTTGAAGATGCCTTGCCATGCACATTAGTTTAAAACAGGAACAATGTCAAATGGATGGCATTTTTTTTTTTGTTATTGATAGTAAATGCATGGCACAATTAAACTAAAATTATAGCACCACAACAATTAAACTGAAACGAAAACAAAACAACAGCTTTTCAAGACTGAAGGGGTTTTTAAAGAAATCCAAAGATCTTTCTTTAAATAGGGCTAAAAATAGAAGAAGAAAAACAGCACTTGTCTTTCATAACATTTTTAAAAAGTTAAATATCTTTGCACCGTTAACTATATTAATTAGCATAGAAGAAGCATCTTCAATTACAAAAGCAGGATGTTTAAAAAGCTTTTAAGGGAATATATTTGAAGATGAAACTGTGTTAGGAAAGGCGGAAAGTTGCTTTGCAATCACTACATGTGGAAATGAAATGGCTAAAATATGGAAATTATTTTTTTAAAATTAATAATACAAGAAAATTCAGTTAACATTAAAAATTATTTTGCATCTCGGAAAAGCTACATGCAAAGCAAAAGGTGAAAGGTCAAAGTACCAGGTCTACAGTTGCTTCGAGAGGTCGCTTCATTGCTTTGGCAGTCGACTGAGTCTTTTAATAACAGGCAGCGAGCACATGATGGCAGTGGGCCAATGGGATTCAAGCGAATTAACATACAGGTAAACAGCAAGCAGAGGTGCATCATGGGAACGGCATTGCATTGTGGATAGGTGAGAAGGAAAAAAATATTCTGAATGCAATATACAACATACAAAACACTAGGCATGCACAACAACAAAAATGTTTTGTTTTCTAAAGAAATGAATATTACATCTTGAATTAGTACCGAAGCAAAAAATGCATCTACTGTACCTTAGTTAAAAGCATATAAGAGAGTAAAATATAGATGTTTGAAATTTAGGAAAGTTGATTAAAACAGCAGCTTGCAGACACCCTTAAGCATTTATAAGCACCAGTAAGCTTGAATGCTACATAGGAAAGCATTATTTTAGGGGGGGAGGTGTTCCTAAAAGAATTTTTGATAAGTTAGTTATGCCATGTTAAAAAGCACAAGTTAATCTCCAAATGCTAACATTCAAATCTAAACAACTGAAAACGTTTTTTTTAAACGATTTAATGGAATGAGCACATAAGAGGTTTACCATGTTATTAGGAACAGATCTTCTATTAGCAAAGTGTAAAAATTTAAATCTGTTTTAATTTTAAAATCTATTTCCTTTTTTTGGTGTATTTAGTAAATGTTATTTAGGATAATTAACTTATCAGCAAATTCAGCACGGGCCTTTTTCTTTTTCTATGCTGGGAACAACAGCTTAAAGTTTTTTTCCAGTGAACTTACCGCACAAAGCAGAGAAAAACTGCACATTATTTTGAATTAGTACTTTCTATGTTGTTGTTTTTTCACCTTTCGTCAAATAATCTATACACCAAGTTTTAATAAAACATAGTAATGGAAAACACTGCTCATTGCGAGTCAGAAGTTTTATGATCAAAGCAGAAATGGCAACACTGCATTGTAGAATATTTTAAAGACATTACGTCCTGGGTAAGAACAAAAAGCATATGAAACTGCCTTCCACAAAGCCGTATCATTTATCCATCTACTCTGCTATTTTTTACCCTGTGTAGCAGTGGCTTTCCAGAGTCTCCTTTACCAGCCTTACTACTAATGCTGAACTGGAGGTTCTTGGGACCTCTTCCATACAAGTTTGGACCGTCAATATTTCTAAGTAACAAAGAGGGGGTGGGGCTTGACTACACTTCCAATAAATGTCTGTAAAGTTTTTCTTCTAAGCTAAAATTTTGAACTCTCATTTACACTCTCAGCACAATAGGTTTCTCCTCTGGAGACAACGGTATTTGGGGGTCATATTTTCTTGTCGTGGCGCCACACTTGGAACAAGGAAGAAAGCCTGATCTTTGCAGCATTGCCAGCACATAACCCTCCAAAGAGAATGGAGTCACTCAAAGATCATACTTATATACAAACAAAAAAAGGGAAGAGGCTCTGTAGATACCACGTTTGAGTCTGTGGGTGCTTGGAAAGGGTTGTTGCTGCATTTGTACCACTGCATGTGTTTATTCTTAGTACTTAAGAACGTTCTGAATGACATTTTAAGCGGCAATCAAAAAAATGTTGTGTGTGCATGTTTTGGAAACCCTCCAACCTTGCTTCTTTAGACAGCTGTCCCAGCAAGGGAGAGCTATGAGCAGAAACAGGCTAAGATGTAATTAGTCAATGCACATGTTTGATGCACATCTGAATTTGTATTCTCATGCTCATCTGCGTCCACTGAAATGATTGTGTCTCTTCACAGAGGTGGAAATGCATAGCCATACTACTAGCTGTTGCATACGACTGGCTGCACATGACAAGGTGTGGATCAAGGGCAATGATGGCCACAGAAGCTAAGAAACAAGTAAGGTAGCTTCTGGGCTCCTAACCAAAGATAAAATTATGTTCTTGACCCTAAGAAGGATATAACTGCTAGGCCAATGATTCTGCATTCCTATAGTCAACAATGGAACACACCATCCTTTTCAAATGTTCAGTTTGAACACTGGCTTATGTAAATTTAAAAGGAGGTGCAGTTCCTATGTGCTCCAGAGGCATTTTCGCTCTGAGCCGCATTCACACCCAAACCCTAAACTGCTTTTTAAGTTAAACAAACATTAGAATAAGTGTGATGCTTTAAGATTATTCTGGTGTGCTGCGAACATACACTGAAGTGGGAGACATCCTCCTTTCTCCCTCAAAAACATGTGTATTCTTTGACCTTGAAATATTTCTGTTCTCTTCTTTGCAGAAGGTTGGCTTTCATTAAGTAAATTCTGTAGTGTGCTGCATTTCTCATACTGCATACAGTAGAAGTCTGAAATATTTGCCCAGTGCCAGGAATGAGGACAATGCCTCTTTGACCTGTGTGTGGAGTCAGCTTATCTTCCAGATAGGAAAATTCTGCTTCTACTGATACCAATTTGCTACCAATATAAAAGTTTTCAGGATGATAAGTACCCACATTCCAGAAGTCGTGAGAAAAATGTGAGGGCAAAACCAGCTCTTTCAGCACTTCTTTTGAACTAAAAGAAGCCACTTCTGGAAAGATACTTTCTCTAGCCATCAGTATGACATTCCTGGCAGTCTTTAAAACAGCAGCAGAATGTGTCATGTGGTTAGCTCTATATGCACCTGAGCACTTTCAGTGTACAGCGGGTACTTTCAGCATTCCTTTTTTAAAACTCAGTACAGTGCAATGAGCTTTTTCAGAAGCCTGGGTGTACTTGCACAAACCCTTCTAAGCACTTAAGAGTTCTTGGAACTGTGCAAAAATGCTGTGGCAAGTCAGTGTATTAAGCTATCCATCAACCTTCTGAGATAACAGTGTGTTCTTTTAATTTTTTACTTTAAAGAAAAATGAGGCATCCGTTCAAACAATCATGGTGGTAAGTGATGGCATGCCAAGGGCACTGAAGTCTGCCACGTCCAAGTTCAATCCCCATTTGGAAATTTTCTTTAGATCTCAACCCATATCAATTCACAACATGCCACACTAGTTTGTGCATGTTCACCATGTTACCTCCACATCAAACTAGTCAGGTGAATAGACCCTAAATCAGGGGTAGGCAACCTAAGGCCCATGGGCCAGATGCGGCCCAATCGCCTTCTCAATCCGGCCAACGGGCGGTCCGGGAATCAGCGTGTTTCACATGAGTAGAATGTGTGCTTTTATTTAAATTGCATCTCTGGGTTATTTGTGGGGCCTGCCTGGTGTTTTTACATGAGTAGAAAGTGTGCTTTTATTTAAATTACATCTCTGGGTTATTTGTGGGGCATAGGAATTCATTCATATATTTTTTTCAAAATATAGTCCAGCCCACCACATGGTCTAAGGGACGGTGGATCGGCCCACGGCTGAAAAGGGTTGCTGGCCCCTGCCCTAAATGCACATAAATTTAGGATTCTATTCTCTTCAGTCCTCAATACCTGCATATATAAAGAATTTTTTCCTCTTCTCCCTTGCTAGCTTTCATTTAACAAGTTTTATATACTGCTTAATCAAAAAGCAACACTTCCAGTCACTAGGAAAACAACAATCAACTTATCAGAGACGCCTATACAGCTACATCAAAACTATGGGTCCCAGAAACCACTATGCAAATGTTAACTGCATGTCGCTGTTAGACGAGCCTATCCAAATTTCTGAACATCCAAATAGACTCCTCACCCAGCCATTCCTAAAAAAAACCCGGTCCTAAACGATGGCAAATAGGGCATTAAGTACGCTGTTCTCCAAAAGGATGCCTATTGTGCTAAAGGTACAAAGTGAAAAAGGACCTTGGATCACTGGATTATTTCGTTAGATCAGCATTCGTAAATTAATAGAAGACCATATTCTGGTAAAGGCTTTAAGCTAAATTACACTCTTAAAAGCAATGCTGGCTTCACAAAAGCAGTAATTACGGATCCTGCATTCTTGCACTTACCATCACTGTAGCAGCTGCAGCAGCTGCCTGAGCTGCCACTGCAGCCTGGTTGGCTTGGTGCTGAGCAGCTTTGATTTTGGCCTGCAAGTGAGCAGGAGGGTGAAAATATTTGCATTTCTCCCTCATGCAGCGCCCCTTTATGTAATCCATACAAACAGTTACGGTGTTGTCATTTGTATCAATCATTGTGCTGTCTGCAGGATGTGCAAAGCGGCAGTCAGTTTCGCCCCGTGCACAGTTTCCTCGCTGGAACTCCCTGCAAACCTGGTGCGCAAAACAATACTCGTTATGCATACTAGATCAGGAGGGGTGGGGTGGGGTAGTTGCATATACTGAACAAGAGGAGGCATTCAAAAATGTAACTCCCGAAGGCTCGAGACCAAATGGCCTCCAGTGCTTTTCAAACCAAACTTCCAACTTCAACCTACAACCGCTCTGCAACTTATATATCTTCAGGCACACAGGTCTGGATGATAAGATAACTTAAGGCAAGGAAGTTCACTGAAGGAATGCTTCCTGTCCCCTTCTTCCCCCTTCAGCCACCTGTTTCCCCTGAAAAGCCTTCCTTCTCTAGAAGCCGGTTTAAATAATGTGGCCTGGTGGGCTCCTGGAGAAGAGGGGAATTGGCTAAAACGGGACTTGAATGCTAGGGTAAGTTATCAGAAGGAAGTTCACAGAAGGAAAATGTCTCATTCCTTGTTTTCACATTGTGCAGGAGGATCTTTCAGAGTAGAAGCCCAGGGGGCTGCAAGAGGGACAGGTGACTTTCCTTCCCTGAACTTTTAAGTTAACTTATCTCAGGATCCACGCCATGCCCTCTCGCTTCAGATTAGCCCTTTCCCCATTTCCATCTCTGTTACATTGCCCTTTCCTCCTTCGCTGCAGGATAGTTTTCCTGCCATTGGCTCACCCCAACTTAGCGAAACTCACAACCCACAAGATGAAGACCAGAAGCCTAGATTTTCCTTGTACCTGCCTGCAATCTGAGGCATTAGGAGAAGGTATTTTAACCCTTAATGCTTCCTCACAAATCTATAAAGTCGCCTAAGTGTGGTTCGAGATGTACACGCAACTTCAAAAACACAAGCAAATTTTGCTCTTCTGCCCCTTCTTTATAGTGTCAGCAGAGCTGGTTAGTGGTAGGGGTCACACAGCAGCCGTATTGTCTGCCATCAGGAAGAGAGCAAAATGATGGAACCCTCGCTTCCGACTTAGCATAGAGCACTCCTGCTATCCCTCTGGCCCATTTTGTGCTAGTTGTCCTGTGTTACAAGGTTGGGATAGTAGCTCAGCTTTACCAAATACATTGTTTTCTTTTCATTCAAACTGGTAGGTAACTTAGGACAAGCAAACAATTGTGCATGTTTAGTTGGTAACAGACCTATAAATAGCTGGTGCGCCGAGTCTCTCCCTGGGTTTATGTTCTGGATTTATTAGGTCCTTTCCGTGTAAAACTGCTAACAGCCTCAAACCCACGCCATATAAAAACACAGCAGCGGTAATATAATGATGTAATTACTTCTGTACTCCTGTTACTCTGAGCTGATCTCTGCTGTAGTATCTGCAATGCCTCTGCTCAGCGGTAACTAAGGTTAGGGAACTGATTCACTGCACTAACCCCTCCCCCCCCATTTTTCCAGAATCCTAACATACGAAATACGCATCAGCATAATGGTGCTCACCATACCTCTAGCTTATCGGTCCTGAGGAGTTTCTGGGTCGTGGTTGAACCAGGGACTGAGACAGGGGGGCTTCCAGGAACAATGACAGGCTGCGTGGGGACAATTTCAGTAGGAACTAATCCAACCCCAGAAGTGACGGGTGTTAAATATGGTGCAAAGCTAAGTGCTGTGTTGGGTCCTATTGTTGGCCCTACAGGAAATGAGTGCTGAGGAAGGGGGGGGGGAGAGAGAGAGACAGAGAGAGAGGAAAAACAAACATGTAAATCCTACAGGCAAACATGGTTCTATATTAAAAACAATAAGGGTCAAAATTGGCTGCAATTTCTAGCCAGATGCACCACTTTTTAGGAGAACCACAACTACACTGGCCAGCCTCCAGAACGCTGCTCCAGACTTTGCAGGTAACTTTGAAAAAAAGAATTTCTCTTGTTAAGATATAAACCGAGTCGATGTTCATGTGTCCAGAGATAACTCACATTCCAGACAAACACTGCCGCAATAAACAGGTTCATATCAGGGAAGCAGCTTGTCTGCAGAGAATTATGACAAAAGTCAATATGGTCTACCCTGCATGGACTGTTTACAGCCTCCTCAGCATCCGAGTCTGGAGTTAGGCAATTTGCCAGGGGTGTGTGAGTGCAGGTGGGATTTTAATTATTTCATTAAAAAGAAATAGTAAAATACAACCAAGCAGGTCCTAAAAGTCAGTGTTCACTACAGAGTCAAACAATTGCCAGGTTGGAAAGACTATGCTGCTGAATTTGGTCAAAAACAGGATGGGAGAACAGGGAAGCTTCCAGACATCTGAGCAGTTTCTTGAAGCGGGGGAATGATTTAACCATGTGAGACTGAAATACGTGGTTGTAGTTTGAAATTATGGACCTGAGGCTGCTCAAAGAAAACACAGGATAGTATGTGTAATGTATGAGGGCTCACAATGCAAATAGATGGATGTTTCCAAACACATATCATTGCATTGTTTTTAAGTGACTCACCAGTCTGAAAAGCATTTGTGATTGTGTCTAGAATATATTACGTGCTGCTGAGGCAGCTTCCGCTACAGGCCTCAGCCTCAAAGGAAAAACATGGCTTAGCCTCCATAAATTAGACCAAAAGGAATAACCAAAACAGACATTAAGAAGCAGAAAAATTGAAGTTCACATTTTATAACTGGCTCAATATGAGGAGTTCTTAAGTCATTTTTGTGTGGGAGGATATATGAGTACTGCACATAAACGCATAAGATAAAGATGGAAAAAGGCAGAACAATCTACCAGTAAATGGCTGGGTGATTTTACATCAGTAAAATTAACTAAACTATAAACCTGCAAATCCAGTTGAAGGCATATATTTGGCATGATCCTTTTGGAAAACAGTGAGGGGTACACAATATTGTTTCAGGAAAAGGAAACCTGTGGTTGTCCAGATAAACTCAAAATCCAAAAAATTTCAGCCAGCATGACTTGCTCCCAAGTGTGACTGCAGAGTACAACCATCTGCATAACCCTTCTGAAGTCCAAAAATAAATAAATCTGAACCACACTTTGTTATACATTATGGTATGGCCTACTTCTAGTCGGACTAAAGAAGGGTGAGTAGAAACTGTCAGTTACAGATTAGGAAATTCATAGGTATTATCTGAACCTATAAAGGAATAGCATGCCTGTGATGACAAAAATGCTAAAGGACAATCAACAAGAATGCTAAACAAAAAGCTGCAAGTTCATAATATGATTTCCACATTATAGGTTAAACTTTCAGAACAAAGCCATTCTAGAATAAGAACACCCCCCAATAGCCCTGCCTTTAATGAAGAATGCATACAAATTATGGTATATAAAAATAATTTTATAAACTATCCAAATATAGCTCTACAGCTCAGACTTTCACTTATTGGCCTAATAATCAATAAGCTGCCTAGTCCTGAAACTGAAACGTTTCAAAACAGCTGTACAAATCTATTTATGTATGTATCGATATAGATATATATGAATTTAATTTACAAAACTGATCTAGGCATTTTATTTCAGAACTTCACAACAGCAATATTGTAATAACTACATAAGTTAAGGTGGAAATGTTAAAGTGCTTGAAATGCATTTGTCAGTTTATCTGGAAATGACTTGTAAAGGTAATACAGACAACTCTTTTGTTAAAGGTACTTACCATTGGCTGAAGAGGCGTTCCTGGAAACATAAATTGCATCTGCTGTGCAAGCATTGCTGCTGCAGTTTTCTGTTGGATCAGGTTGTTCCTTCCATTAATTTCTAGCTGCGTTTTCAAATGTGTTGGTGGATGAAGATATTTGCAGTTCTCCCTTGTGCAACGGCTCTGAAAGATGTGAAAATATTACTCAGTTCTGGAAATTTAACTATAGGCTGGTGTTATCACAAAAGCATCTGCAATGGTTGGCCTTTCTCCAAGGCATTACATCCCTATCCTAATAATATTGAGCATTCCATTGAAATCAATGGGAAGTACTTGTATGTAGCATATTTAGTATTGTGGTCTGATCATTAACGGCCTTGTAAAATAATACTTCGGCAGTTAGGTGGAGCCTTGGTGCTGCCCTCTGTGGATGGAATGAAGGGAGAAGTTGAAGGTTTAGGAGCATCGTATCCAATGCAAAAAGACACAGGGCACACCCTGCTCTACTTCCAAACACACCCCATGACATATGCCATGAGACTGGACGTAGTGCTCACAGAACTGCATTTCTCAGCCACACTCCAAGAGCTTCAATGGGGGAGACTCTAGAGCAGCAGTTCTCAACCTGTGGGTCCCCAGATGTTGTTGGACTACAACTCCCATCATCCCTGAGCTCTGGCCTTGCTGAACTAGGGGTGATGGGAGTTGTAGTCCAACAACATCTGGGGACGCACAGGTTGAGAAAGGCTGCTCTAGAGTCTAGCTCCAGGCTCAATCCCACCCCAGGACACATCTCAGGGTGGGCTAATTACATTGCCAAGAGAGAGAGAAAAGGCCAATATAGAAAATAGGGACCACTTTTTATATTAGGCAGTAACTTGGCCATACAGAAGTGAGAAGGATGGGTTGTTAAGGCCTCTTAAAGACCCTCGAGTGCCCTGCAATTGAGAAGGGTCAAGAGGCATTCTCCCAGGACCAACCTTTGCTTGACACCATTCTCCTCCTTCCAGCAGATGTGATGAGACCTACCATTATTACAGTCTTCCATTCACCCACCCGCTTGGATATTCAATAAAGCTGCCATCTACTTCATGAGATAAACCATAAATGTCCATACTATCGTAATTGATATTCACAGTTCAAAAAGTAACAACGTACACATGACATAATAGTTTGGATCCAAAGGTCCAAAGCAGAACTCTCCACTCTTCCAGAAGCCAGTGTGATGTTGTGGTTAGAGAAACGGAGGTTCAAATTCCCACTTAACCCAGAAGCTCCTTAGGTGATCTCAGACAAGTCACTCTCTCTCTATGTTATTTTATAGGGTTGTTGTGAGGACTAAATGGACGGGGTGAGGAGAACCAGATATACTGCCCTGAGCTCATTAGAAGAAGGGTAAGGTAAAGGGACCCCTGACCATTAGGTCCAGTCGTGACCGACTCTGGGGTTGCGTGCTCATCTTGCTCTATAGGCCGAGGGAGCCGGCGTTTGTCCGCAGACAGCTTCTAGGTCATGTGGCCAGCATGACTAAGCCGCTTCTGGTGAACCAGAGCAGCACACGGAAACACCGTTTACCTTCCCGCCGGAGCGGTACCTATTTATCTACTTGCACTTTGAGGTGCTTTTGAACTGCTAGGTTGGCAGGAGCAGGGACCGAGCAACGGGAGCTCACCCCGTTGCGGGGATTCGAACCGCCGACCTTCTGATTGGCAAGTCCTAGGCTCTGTGGTTTAACCCACAGCGCCACCCGCGTCCCTTTGGAAGAAAGGTAGCAATGTAGTAAATAAAGAAGTAGTAAAAATCTGCAGAGACCGCTGCTAAATTACAGCCCCCTCTGAAAACTTTAGAGCTGCTTCAGTTTACAGAAAGGCCACCTGGGGTGTAACTCATTATGCCACATTTGAAATGTCTGATCTCAAAAGGAGAATGTTTTTGACAGCCCTTTGTTTTGATTTGTTCAACAATAAGAAACAGGCTTCATTTTAATGGCTGTGTGTAGAGAATCCTATCTCAGCTTAATAAGCTTTATATAAATGAGATATAAATGAGCTTTTTGTCTATGCTTGCAGACCCTTCACAGCTTGGGGACTCAAACCAGGAAGTCTTTAATGAACCATGTTTTCTGTTTTGTGCAAACAGGGAAGCTATGGTTACCAGAACTGGGCCAAGACAGGATATTAAACCAAATTCAAACAGTGGATTAACATCCTGGCTGGTTCTGAAGTCAGGTTTCCCAGTTTGGGCAAAATGAGAAACAATGGTTAATTAGAGACTTAATGGTTTGAATGTCTGCACTGCAAAGAGAAGAGTGAAGGGACTGTGTGCACAACTAAAAAGGCCAAGATACAGTTGTTAGAACTGAGCCATTCTATTTGATAAGAGAGTAAGGGATTCAATTTTTTGTATGTAGACTTCCATTTGTTTTGTTACATTAGTCTCAGATTTCAATTTACAGTGGTGCCTCGCAAGACGAAATTAATCCGTTCCGCGAGTCTCTTCGTCTTGCGGTTTTTTCGTCTTGCGAAGCACGGCTATTAGCGGCTTAGCGGCTATTAACGGCTTAGCGGCTTTAAGAAAAAGGAAACAAACTCGCAAGAACTCGCAAGACGTTTCGTCTTGCGAAGCAAGCCCATAGGGAAATTTGTCTTGCGGAACGACTCAAAAAACGGAAAACCCTTTCGTCTAGCGAGTTTTTCGTCTTGCGAGGCATTCGTCTTGCGGGGCACCACTGTAACACAATTTTACATTTGATCAAGTTAAATTATAAAAAAATAGCATCCATTCTTTACATCCAGACAGAAAACCTGTTTGTTTTTTGTTTGTTTTGAAAATAGGGAGATTTTCTACTACTGACAAATGGGGTGACATTTCCCCTAGAGATCACATACAGAGTGTCTATCCTTCCTTTGATTCCGCCCCCCCCCCTGTCTCTAGAACTACCCAGTGCAGTTCTAACCTTACAAAATATCTGCTATTTTTTCTTAAATCCATATATAATTATTACCTCCTACAAGCCTAAGCACAACACATTATTGACACTAAATACATGTTTAGAAGCTGGACCCCAATGTACTTTGCAAACTGCGATGAAATCCTGTTTGTTTCAACTGTCTTTTAATAGGTACAGTCAAACCTCGGTTGTTGAATGTAATCCATTCCGGAAGCCCGTTCAGCTTCCAAAACATTCAACAACTGAGGTGCGGCTTACGATTGGTTGCAAGAGCTTCTTGCACTCAAGCGGAAGTTGCGTTGGACATTCGGATTCTGAAAAATGTTCAAATACCAGAACACTTACTTTCGGGTTTTGGGCGTTCGGGAGCCGAAACGTACAGTAACGGAGGCATTCGGGAACCGAGGTTTGACTGTTTTGTGTAACTTAACGTGTTTTTCTGTACTGTAATGTCTGCTGCATGATTTTTTTTTAAAAAAAGAAATATTAAAGATTTTCATGGTTTATAAAAGCACGTGCATTGTCTCTTTTTCAGGTTGTGTTTTCTACAGATCAGTTACATTTGTTGTGAGACTTTAGTGTTGAATAACTTGGGAAGAAAGGAGGGGGGAAGAGACACATACACTAAAGTAGAAGAATATAAGCTTTACCACCCCACCCAACCCTTGTATAATGTTTGTGATGGAAGAAGTCTTCTATCTGGTCAGGTGAAAGTTGGTTTATAACAGTCACTGGGGAACCGTAACTGAGAGCTGGGGAGGGGCTGGAGACGGAACTCTATGCAAAAGAAGGAGGGAAGGTACACAAATTCTGGTTGGTGGGTGTCAGGTTTAGAAGTCTTAGTTGGACAGTGTGATTGGCTGGAGCTGGATGCGGGGTGGAGTCAGAAGAAATGCATATATGGCTAGGTGCTAATCAGGATAAATCAATGTAGGTTGGTGCTTGGTCCTTGTGGTGGACAGCCAGAAGAAGATGAAAAACAGATCCTATGCTTGAATACGTGACCGAACAAGGGCTTTTGCCAAAGTCCTCAGTTACACTGTTAGTAAGGCTTAACTGGAGTGGAGTCAAATACCAAGGCAACTGAGCAGAAGATTTTTAATACGGTAACAGATTACATCCTCCAAGTTGTCTTGGTTGGTATTTCAAGTTCCAGTAACAAGTTAGAAAAGCGTATAAGAATTTAAGGAGATAGAACTATATTAAAGTAACCACATAAGCCTGTGTACTACATAATCTTGTAAGAAATAAATGTTAATATCATAGTTCAGTATAGTAACTATACCAGATTGGCTTTGAAGCACGTCTATATCCCACTGGGCTATTAAGGACAGAGGTGGAATTAAATGGTGGCAGAAGTATGGGTTTAAGAAAACCATTGGAATAGAAGTTGGGTTTTGTTAATAAAGTAAGGAAACCCCCCCCCCTTTCCTCCACACAACACTATAATAAAGCCATCTGCATACTATAGTGAACATAAATTATAATTAATAAATTATCTGTTTCTGTTACATATGTTAATCCCATCCTTTTGCACTAATTACATAAATGGAAACTCAATTACTAAAGTGGCAGGTACAGCAGAGGAAATTAAAAGGACCTAAATTCTATTATTCTGACCATCTAACCATCCATAAAACCTGCCTGCTGGAGACCATGGCCTCTCCTTTGCTGGAGAACAGGTCGAATTCTTCAGATCTGGGAACTAACTAGATGACACTGCTAATTGGAGAAATGGAAATAGGAGGTTATTAAGCAACTGGCCTGCAGAACAAGATGTGTTAAGAACGTATCAAGAAGGTCACCCAGGGCAGGATCCAGCCAAAGTTAAGTATTATTTTAAGCACTGATGATTTCAATAGGAATTAAATATGCTAAACTCTGGCTGGAAAGTGAATACCAATGGCTTACATATTACAGTCTCTCTGAGGCAAGGTCTACACTTATACTAAATATGCCCCAAGTGCCTGGCACAATGCGAGTCTGATATCACCAACTGTCTCTAAGCTTTACTGTATTATGAACAATATACAGAGGCTTTATTTTATTAGTAGGCTTCATCCTTCATTGTCCAACCAGAAAAGTGGTTTTCCTAGAAAAGGGCAAAAAGCAACAATCTTGCAAAGCATTCAAGTAGATGGATGAAAATTCCACCACTATACAAAGGCACATTCTCTTATCTCTGTGTGAGGCTGGCTGGCTGGGTTTCATTGCTTAATGATACTGCCAGGGC